GCCGGAGGGTGAGTGCCATTTGCCACTCGAACGCGTGCTGTTGACATCACACCACGGCGTGGCCGAGGCAATCCTTCGTCCTCTTGGCGCTCGAAACCACGTGGGGTGGGCACCGTACCAGCGCACCCGCAATCTTTTTCCGGTCCATCCACGACGCGCGACAGCCTTTCGTGGTCCACCAGCTGGTCCACCAGCGCCAGGAGCACTCACGCGCGTCCCGTGGCAGCTCCGAACAACACAGCACGCGGATCGCCATGGGCAACTACTTGAGCCGGAGGAGCGCCGAGGAGCGGCTCGAGGCCCGGGTCGCCTACCTCGAGGCGGAGAACGCGTCGCTGCGGCGCGCCGCGTCGCGCGGCGACCTCCGCGCGCCGCACCACCGGCCGCGGCTCCCGAGCTGGGACTGGGAGTTCCGCATCCCCAGCGACGTGCTCATCCTGTGCCTGTCGCGCGTGCCCTTCGACGACCTGGGCAGCGTGCGCGCCTGCTGCGGCCGCTGGCACCGCATCGCGCGCGAGGCGTCGTTCGCGCTCGAGCGGCGGCAGACAGGGCAGGACAAGGGTGATTCAACGTCGCTTCAACGTGAGTGTTCCGCGCGCGCGCGTTCTGGAAAAAGCATCCACGCTTCGAGACCGTTCCGAGAGATGATCGCTCGTCCAAAAATCAGCCGAAAAGAGTGGAAACCGGCCGAGAGAGGAGCCTTTGAAGTTGGGAATTTCGCACCCTTTTGCTGCCCAGGCGGCGGAGCGGCTTCGCGGAGAGCCGCCTCGTCGTGGGCTTCAACGTGGCGAACTGCGGCGAGAACTGCGGCGACGCCTGCGACGCGCCACCGCCGGACCGCTGGTGGGCCCTGACGCTCGCGCGGGGCGGCGCGGGAGAGGTAATCCGCGCGGAGCCGCTGCCGCCGGCGCCGCGGCGCGCGCGCGCGGCGTCGCACGCCTTGGTCGCGGACCCGCCCGTGCCCGGCGTCGCGCTCTTCGGCGGCGAGGGCGCCGTCGGCGAGGCGAACGTGCCCCTGCGCCTCGACGTCGCGCGGCGGCGGTGGACCGCGCTCGCGGAGACGGCCGTCGACCACCTCGCGTACCGCGCGGCCGGGTCCGTCGGCGGGCGGCTCTACCTCTGCGGGGGCCTCTTCTTCGGCGGCGACGCGTCGCCGCGCTTCGAGGCCGGCGTCCAGGTCCTGGAGGGCGCCGGGCCGGCCCTGGGAGCGCCGGGCGCGTGGGCCGAGCTCGCGCCGATGCCGAGCCCCGCGTCCGGGGGCCACACGGCGGCGCTCGGCGGCCTGCTCTACGTCTTCGGCGGCTACGAGCGCCTCGGGTCGCCCATGGGCGCCATGCTCGCGTTCGACCCGGCGGCGGGGACCTGGGCGCGGCTCCCGCGCGTGCCCGCGTCGTGCGTCGCGACCGCCGCGGCCTTCGGCGGCGAGCTCCACGTGCTCGCGGGCGACGACGACGAGGACCCGGACGAGGAGGACAACAAGGCGACGCACCACTTCATCTACGACCCGGGCGCGGCCGCGTGGCGCCAGGGCGACGCGCTCCCGCGCGACCTCACGCCGCGGCGCAACAACAACGGCCTCCACTCGCCCGCGGTGCTCGTCGCCCTCGACGACCGCCTCGCGCTGATCACCTTCCAGCTCCCGGCGCGCGACTACCGGAGCCTCGGCCTCCACACGTGGACGCGGCGCGCCGCGTGGGCCCGCGCGGACGCGACGGCCTTCACATCCGCGCTCGACGACGCCATGCCGCGCCGCGAGACGCCGACCATGGAGCACTGGAGCAGCGACCTCGGCCGGGGCCGCCTCTTCTCCGCGTCGGCGTGCTACCTCGGCTAAGCTCCCGCGGGTCTCCGCCGCCGCCGGGGGCGACGGGGACGCGGCCGACGGGCGCGCTCCCACGTCGCGCGAACGCCCCTACGTCCACCGCGGCGGCGGCCGCCCGGGGGAGGGCGGCGGCGGACCGCCTGGATCCCCCGCGGGGCGTGCGGGGAAGCGCGATCTCGGGGCCGTCTTCTTGCGTCCTGGCTTTCGACGAACTCGTCGTCGGGCGCGCTCCCAGGGCTCGATCGCGCCTTCTTGGATGGCGCTACCTCAGGCCTCGACCTGGACCTCCGCGTCGAATTGCGGCGTCGACGTCTCCTCCGCGGCGCGGCCGCGGAGCTTGCGGACGACGACGGCGAGGACGACGACGACGACGGCCGCGCCGACGCAGAGGCCGACGATGAGCGGCGTAGAGCCTTGCTTGGTTTTGTTGCCCTTGCTGTCCGTTTTCGAGTCCTGCGTTTTGACCCCCTCAATGTAGAAGGTGTCCGTGCCGGCGCCGCCCTACGAGTAGCGTGTCGAGAACGCGGCGATGGTTTTCGGAATGGACGCGGGAGACGCTGACGTCGAGGTAGTTGTCGTTGCCCTTGACGACGGTGAGCGCGTCGTCGCCCGCGCCTCCCTACGCGCGCGCAAAGCGTCGACGCGAGCGTCGGGCCGCGCGCGCGACCACGGACGGGGATCACGGATGATGGACGCGGGAGACGCTGACGATGAGGGAGTTCCGGTCGCCCTCGACGACGATCGCGTCGTCGCCGCCTCCTCCCTACGCGTCGCGCTGAGGCAAAGAAGAGCCACGGACGTTTCAGACGCGGGGAGGTCGCGTCGATTAGGTTGTAGTTGCCCTTGAGGAGCACGCAGTCGTCCTTGTCGCCAAAAGTATAAGCCCGAAAAATAGTAGTCCCATCGGATGAAATATCCCATTGAAGTATCCCATCGTCCGGAACCCAGTCCGGCATTTTGTCGCCCGTAAGTTCCACGCACACACCCGTGATGCCCTCGCAGCACTTGTCGCAGCTGCCTTCGGAGCCCGCGAGGCACTCGGCGCGCTCGGCTGCGGTCGGTTCGCATACGTTGTCCTTGACAATACCAGCGCACATGGTCGCCGTGGTGCCGTTGCAGGTGTGGCGGTCCGGGCAGGCCGTGCATACGTTGCTGAGGACGTACATGTTCGTGGCGCACTTGTAGCCGCTCGGGCAGGCCGTGGCGCCGTCGCACGTGTAGCCGCTCGGGCAGGCCACGCACTCGTTGTTCTTGACGTACTTGGGCGCGGCGCAGCATTCGGTGCACGCGGAGCAGTCGTTGGTGCTCCAGCCGCAGCGCACGTTCCACGGCTCCGAGTGGGTCGAGCACCAGTCTAAACAACACCCGGTGTCGCTGCAACTTTTGCACTCGTCGCACCCGGAGCAGGCGTTCGTGTCCCAGCCACAGCGCACGTTCCACGGATCCGAGTGGCCCGCGCACCACCGCTCGCAGCGGTCCGCGAGACGTCTCTGTTCAACCACTTCTTGCTCGGCCAGGAAAGAGGGAACATCTTCCCACGGCTGCTTGGGGCGGGTTTCCCCAGCTGGAAGCGCGTCGTCCTGCTCGACCGGGACTACGGCCTGGACTACGGTCTGATCCAGCGCGAAGGCCTTCTTGGGTTCGCCAGCGGCTGCAGCTGAACGCTTGGCGGCGGCGCGCACAATGTTCAAGGCGACGGCCTTGGGGATCGGTAGAGCAGCCGATCCCGTGGCGC